GCGGGAGCCAGGCCCGAGCTCTCAGCAAATCCCTTCAAGCAAGCAGAGACAGGGGCTGGCCTGCAGCCTTATTTCGGGGTGCAAAGTGCTGACTTTCGTGTTTTGAGCTGCGGTGGCTTACCTCCAGCTTGCTGCTGGCCTCCTCCGCTCACACACTGCGCCCTCCACTGAGGCATGGGGCTCCCTCAGCTCTCGGGAGCAAATGGAAACGCAGAGTGCAGAGGACAGAGCACGTTTCTCTACGTGACGTCAAGGGAGGAACGTGTCCCTGCTGCTGATGGCGGACCCTAAGCACAGCAGCTTCTGCTTTTCACTCTCTGAAGCAAAAACACCCTTTCAGACAGAGCAACCCCTGTACTAGCAGGCAATGCTACTGATGATAGGGAGAGTTTCCTATGATTTATGTGTAAAAAGAAGCAGAAAAAAGATAAGCAAGCCCAGACTGATCTAAAATCCAGTTTAATCCAGCGCTCCACAAATACTCCATTGCGAGAATTCCTCACTGGTTGGGTGATGCTGAGGGTCACCAGCTTTGGGCCTAGGTACGTTTCAGACCTCACAGCAGACCTGACTGAGGGGCCTCTGTGCTGAGACCTCCACGGGGCTGGGGGCCAGCTCCCACCACAGGCACTGCACGCCACGAGGCAGAGACTCCTGCTGCCCTTACTGTACCTCTGGGCCAAGCGAGCGCCATTTCTAGTCCAGAAAAGAACTAAAATCTGTGCAACTGGAAAAAGTCCAGAAAACAAGATACAGCTCGTCTATGCCCTGTATCTGCTCTAGGTTAGTACACTAGAGAACATGATAAACCAGCTGTGATTTGGTAAAACACATGGAAAATGGACCAGACATTGCTTCTATAGTAGTGCTGACTTTCACTTAAAAAATTAATTCTTCCTTGACAGGAATTATTTGAAAAACAACAAAAACTTACTGACTCTATCAGATAACAAAATAGAACAAGAAGTTTAAGCAAATCAAAATAGAAAACCAATACTTTACACTACGAAGCGACTTTCATGCCAGGACGACAGAGCACTTCCCAACAAGCCTGTAGGCATGTAAGTGGTGTTACTGGCATTTCACAGACAGGAGAAATAAAGCACGGAAAGGTCAAGTGTCTGGCTGCAGGCCACGCGGCTGAGCCCTGGCATGGCCGGGAACAGACCTCAGAAGTATGGCCACCCTGCCCCTTGCTCTGACAAGACGACACGCTCTCCCATTTTTTGTCTTCTTGTGAGCATGCTAGCTCTCTTGATTTAAAATTGCTTTCCTGCTTTCATACATTTGTATACTGCTATAGCCTGATCGCTGAGCAGAAAGTGTTGCAATGTGTTGCAGAGCCTATTGACTTTATTGGCTCTGTGGCTTTCTTTTGTGCAATGAGTTGTGGAATTGAGACCTAGTGATGTCAATTATCAGCAAGAAACCTTTATATATTTGTCTGCAACAATATGCTCTTTCGAAACATAATAAATTGACAACAGTCCCAGTGGTTTTCATATTTTTTAAATAACCAGATTTGCGTCATAGGTAATGGTGCATCCTAAAATGACATTTTCTATCTCCTTTGATACATGTAAAACTTCAGGGAAAAAACCACTTTTTTAAACTTACACACACACACATATATATATAAAAATAAAAGAAACAAAGAACTTTTCCTCAGGTCCCATTTATAACAGAATTATAAACCCCAGAAATGGTGGTATGTCCTCCCTTATAGCTGAGCATCCAGGTGCCACTGTAATTTACACTACATACATGTTTTAAATTTGTGACATGAGACACACTTTTCATAATGCAGTCATTTTATAGATTTTATTAGACAGACTTATGGTAGGAAGGAATATTCAGAAATTGCAACTTAAATGAGAAAATGTGAATGGTGTTACTTATATAAAATACTACTGCAATAGTTCTTTTATTAATTTTTAATGCACAGAACCCACTGTGACCTCCTTTATTCTTTTCCTGTCAACATGGCAAGCTAGAGAAATTGAAATGGGCTGTAGCTGTTCTCTTCTTGTTCCCCTCTTCCTCCCATTTTGCATAATATTAAAATATAACAACTTATTGGACTGTCACTGTGAAATAATCACTATGCAATAGGCATAAAGATTTTTTCTGATTGTTATCTCTTCCTTGCTTTTCAGCGTTCTCTAAAAAATTCCAAATTCCATGTAGTTATCTAAGGCAATAAGGCAATTTTTCACTGAATACACTCGTCTGAATTAAAGTTTGTTTAAAAGGTATTTTTTGCTACATTTCTTATGGTTCTCTAAGGATAACACCAGTCACATAAATTAAAGCATTTTTTGCCTGTCTGGTCTCCTCTGATTACATTTTTGGGGTAAGGTAGGAGGCAGGTCCAATAAAAAAGTGTTTGACTCAATCAGGAGGATGCTATTACTTCTGTTATGTATATTTACTGCTATCTCTATCACCAAGGAGACTAATCTCCATACTAGTAAAGTCAAGAAGCTCACAGTATTGTCTTTGCAAGGCCAAGTTCATGTTGTCGCAGCAACAGAGTGCACAGGGTCAATAGATTAATACATTACAGTGCACAGGCACTGAACTGGAGTGTAGAAGTTTTGCTGCTGGTTTTGAAATTAAACTGTGAAGCAGGACTGGGAAATACGGCCTACACAAGATATTCTTGTATATCTCAAGGAATAGGCTACAAAAATACGCATATATTTGCCTAATACGTCTATGATTTTTACCACAGCGGGAAGAGGAGGAAATAACCTCCCTGAAAGAGGTGCACTCGGTGGGAAGGAGGGAGGAAAGCTGGAGTTCAGGCTATGAAACATACACTGCATTTGGATTGTTGATATTTCCCCCTGCGATGCCCTTTCATTAGCCTCTGTCTAACATGGGGTCTGACAATTGTGACAGAATGAAAAATTTGAGGAAAAGCGAGGGTCACAAGAGAAGAGATTTCCTTCCCTCTCCAGTGACCCTATCACAGTATTCTGATGCAGCGCTTTACCATTAAGGAAAGGGCAACCCAAGAGCCTTCACACTTAATCTGTTCCATCTGTCATGGCTATTAGAAACATTGACCAGAAGTGAGCTTTAAGGACTCAGTGCAACTGCAGACATGATATTCTAGCCCACTACAAGGACCTCCTGATGTTTTGAAAGCCTCCAAGGAAGTACCATGCATCAAAAAGAGCAACACCTACCTGACATGCCACCATATGTGGTCCTCAGTCCTCCACCAACCGCTGGCCAAGGTGTGCTGTCTGCTTTCAGTCCCATCACTCCTGACACAGTGTTGGTGGCTGTAACACCATCTGCACCACCTGTGAAAGAAAGGGTCAGTCACTTTTTATTAAATCATGTGTATGAGAACAAGAGAGGAAAAAATACAATAGAAAAACTGTGAAACCGTGAAATAACTAGAAATTCAAATGAACAGCTGAAGACAGAAAGCAACAAACTGTTAAGGGGATGCGCAGAAGGGTCCTTAAGACCAACCCTGGGCTGACAAATTTAACACTAGCTTCAAGGCAGGCTGCATCAGTTGAAAGAGCTGTGAGGGCTGTAAGACAGCACGTGGGAAACACCGGGGCTGAGAGGCAGATCTCTGCCCTTCAGCTGTGTGGGACAGAACCTGCTACAGTGGTTGTTCAACACCTGGAGGTGCCCCAGCACAGGAGTCACCTCCTCCAAGCTGATGACACCAACTCTGCATTGACGGAGCCAGCCCATATTCTTGTTTCCCATTGTGAGGAGCAAGACGAAATGAACAATGCGACAGAGAAATGATGACCATGGTTTTAAGTGATGGATTAATACACCTACTTGCAAACTGATTTCCTGCCATGTTGTACTTTGAGCTCTAGGGAAAAAAAAAATATAAACACCTTCAAATGGTGTATTTCTGTTTTCTCAGGACACACACACCATTTTCACTACTAAACTTAAGAATAGGGGAATTTACAGTGGTATGGTAAACGTATAAATATTACAGAAATAGGAGTGTGCAGAAAAACACACAAACATATATGATTTATTGTTAACAGTCTAATATAGTTCTTTTCATATATTGCTATATTCTAGAAGCATGGACAAAAATTAGGAAGCCTTTGATCACTGTGCTTATTCTAAATACATCAAATAAACTATTTTTGTATTAGTTTCTGTTGTTATTTGTTATTACTCCAGCAACTCCCCTGTCTTCCCCCATCCAGCAAATTAGTAAATCTGCACAGCTTGTGCACTGGAGTTGGTTACCTTCCTGCGCAGCCATCGCAATATTCACAATATCAGTGACATTTGGGGTCAGCTTGGCAAAGAAAGGAATCTGAACAGCTTGTCTAACCCAGCGACAGATGTTCCGTACCAGCTCTGGATCCTGTTCAAATAGGTCAAATAAATATAGAACATAATTAAAAGTAATGCGAACAAAAGGTATACCAAGGAAATAGAAAACTTTGCTGTAAGTGGCTATACTGAGATTTTGTGAAATTACACATCAGGAATGAACCTCATCTCATTAGTTAACTTATTTCAGACACATCTAGTAACTGCAAATCCATTACAGAAAGGTTAGTTCATGAAAAAAGGAAAATTTGCTTCCCCTGCCCCCCCCCCCCCCAAGACAAAGATATCACAAAATGTTCCTTTCCCAGAGAGGGGGAAATATCATTTTGGATGACAGAGACTTTCTTAACCCATTTATTTTAAAAATTACTTTTCAGTTTTAATGACTCACTCTAGGTAAGGTATATTGAAAATACCCAGTATCCTATAAAAATAATGTGCACCTGAAGGATTGGCTGATCATGCCTTGATCAGAACACCACCGATGAGTCGAGGTTGCAGGGCTATCAGAATGCAATTCAGCATTTCTGAACTCTCCTCTGACTTCAGAGAATAACTTGGGATGGCCATAGTGCAAATGAAAGATCAAAATCTTCTCTGTTAAAGCCAGAAATCGAAATCTTCAAGTGTTGGCTTTTCATGATTTCCAGGCATTTACTTCCCTTATGGAATACGTCTCATGTAGACACTAATCAATCATTCTTTCCATTGAAAACAGCTCAGTGGAACTAACATTCTGCGTCTGGCATATATAATGGTTATTGTTCAACAGAACTCTTAGCGTATGGGTTGTTGTTTTTTTCTGTTGGCTATTGATAATGGTCTTCAACAAATACCTTAAAATTTGCAATACTGATATATGTAGAACATGGTGCGTGACCTGGTTAAAAATTGAATGGTGCTATTACAAGATTTAGTACAAGTATAACCTGTGGGTAGGCTAATTGGTACCACAGCAATTATTTACATTTACTAAATATTTATCACTCTCTCAGACAATTAAGTCTGTCACATATGAATAATTTTCTCCCATTTGGATATTGTAAAAAGTCAGAAAGCTGCATTGCTATGTAGTAACTGAAAATAGCTGCATTGCTACATAGTAACAGAATTTAAACTAAATGAAATTTAGTTTAAAACAATCCAGCGGACACCAAGGTTGTCAGTCTAGTGAACACACAGGAAATACCCCTTGTTCTTTTTTCTTTTTACACCAATGGTTAAATACAAACAAAAAAACCCCACAGGCTGTGTTCCGGGAAAGTACACAGTGCTTGACGTGAATAGTAAAACCCTGAGACTTAGCTGTGCCATTCCAATAAAAATGGTGATATCCCCGCCCAAGCAGCTTCCATGAAATATGTATGAATGCTGCACTGGCAGTATGAAAGTAGTTGCATCTTTGACTTTCATTTCTGTTTTGAATTTCCTTGAGGTCCATCGCAGAAATGAGAGACCCTCTAGAAGACATGAATTGTATATCCCTTATGTTAATTCTTCTCCTAAGAAATCCTTGTAATAATGTTCAGGATGTTGGCACCACATAACTCATTATGCTGACTTTGTCGTGCTTATAGTGCTGCCATAAAAATTCTTACTCCAACACACACTAAGACTTTAAAAAAAACCAACAATTATTTTAATCCACATTGAATAACTTATTGGGAGATCTCTTTCATTCATACAAACCCAATTTCCATCATCCCTAAGACAATTTAACTAATTTGTCTTTCTTAAGAAATAATAATTTGACCTTTTTTTTTTCCAAAAGTAAGTAATGACCTTCATTTTCCATCAGTTCTGCCCCTCCCACACCAAGATTAATGCAACGAATGCAATGGAAGGGTCTTCAGTTTCTCAAGCTAGTAAACAGTTTAAATACCTGATTGCACAGCACATGTTTAGACAAAGCCCTTTTGAAAGGCTCACTTGTATCAGTCTTGGAAACCTGCCCATTTTCGGTACCCATAAAACTGCAGGTAACTTAATAGGAAAATAATTTGAAAACTCAACTGAAGGAGGTGAAATCTTTGATTTTACTTCACTTAATATTCCAAGGAAAAAATAGGAACGTTTAGTGAGGAAATATGGAAAAAATGAAAAACAAGTTAACACAGTGCTTTGCTGCATAGTGAGACAGTCACTGATAGGAGTTGGAAAGGTGTTGAATTTTATACAAAAAATCAGAACTTCCATTAAATTTGACATTTTTGGATTGAAACGGTTATTTCTAAAGCTGATTTTTTTTCCGTAATCTTTTATCTAATTCATTTGCTCATTAAATAAATATCGAATAAAGGTAATGCTGGATACCTTAAAAAAATTACTGTTTACCCTTGTGCCACCCCCAAAACACAGGCACATGTGACAGATCTCGCCGCTTCCCTTTTCAGTGCGAGTCCTACAGTGGAGCTGTACTGGAGCATCCAGCTGATCCACCCTCCCACCCTTCTCCTCCACCTCTTCCCGCTGTTCTGTCTCCAGTCCCCTCCTGCTCAGATTCCTCCTGGTGCAGCGGCCAACATCAGTGAGCCACCTGAGCCCGTCCTCTCTCCCCTCGCTGTAGTGACATCGCAAGTGTCCAGTGGCCACAGGCACTACACGCCTGAGCTTCCCTGCTGCCAGAGCGATTTCAATGCCATGAAGCCATTGCATGAGAATACCAGAGCGTTTATGCTCCACAAACAACTAACGTATTCTCAAAACGGAATAATATCCCCACCTGTTTTTATCTGTGATATCACATTTTCTTCTTTAGATCATCAAGAAAACGTTATTCATTCATTTATAAAATCCATAATTTCCTACTATATTTGCACTGAGGACTTGGAAAAATGCATCATAAGTCATCAGATGGTTGAAAACAGAAGGTAGTAATGTCACCAGGCAGCTAATTTTCATATGAAATGAATGAACTACATTTATATAATCCAGGGGAAGTTCGCTGGATGGTGTACAACCTCTCCATAGAAGTTTGCCTTTGGACTGAGAACAATTTGCAGAGGTCACACAAGAACACAACTTTTGAGAAAGATTTAAGTGATTAGAAATAGAAATTCACTTCTAAGTGCAATCATTGAGTAAAGAAATTATTCCAATTTGAAATGCAGTTCACAACTTAAGATTTCTGAGAATATTAATTTATCATTTTCAGCAAAGTTTTAAATTCAGGTGCAAATTTAACAAGGTGAGCCACCTGGTACCAAAAACTGGTTTTAAACAGGGTATGTACAGGCTTCATTTTGCCTAATTAATTTTGCTGATTCAGGGCCTCCCATCTACTTGGATTTCTGAAAGACTGACCCCAATTTACAAATTGCATTTACTGGTTCTTAGCAGAGATTTGATTTAGAAAACATTCAAGGATGAGCATATAACTTGTAAGAGAATGAATCTTGAGGCCTGTAAATCACGTTACAAGAAATACCTGTCACTGCTAATACCACATAAATATCTTTTTTTACCTGAATCCAACTTTATGAAAGTGCCTGCAGCTTTTATCATTGATAAAGTGGTTGATGAAGCCTGCATAGTTAAGAAATATTTTCTAAATGGCTTGATATGTAAAAAGTTATTAGCTGTAACAACAGCTGGGCATTTACATTCGCAAAATCAACAACATGAACTAAGTAAAATATTATTCTGCTTAATGTGGTACAGGATTTTAATGCTTTTCGTTCAAAGTCTACCATGTTGCTATAAATTATCTCCTTCTATTACACATAACTAGGTTTGTTGGTTCTCTCATTAATGATGATACAGTGCGATTGTTACAGAATGCGTAGTATAATTTTGCTCTGTTGTGTCAATCCAGAAGAATGAACAAATGCTTCAATGGACTGTAACATCTGTTGGTAGCACACTTCATTTATCTGCTGTATTTTTTTTTTTTTTTAAACAAACACCATCTAAATGAAAGCTTGGTGAAATTATCATCAGCTAAAACACAATATTGATTCATGCACTGTACCTACAGGAATCTGTTTGTAATTTAATACCATATAAAGTCTCTTTTGGTATGAGATGTACATCAGTGTGTCTTCTGTCTTCCTGTTCTTTATCAAATATTGCTTGTTTGTTCCAAAGGCACAGAGATTTGAATGTTACAGGGGTTGTCTTTTTACTTCCCTAAGCAGCAGTACAGAATCATTTTTCCTGAATATTCATTATAGCCTTGGGCTAGATGGAGCTTTTAATCCTAACTACTCGTTGCCAATGGGTAGATATACTAGAGGAAAAACAACTATTCACCTTTTTTTCTAAATGATCACATGATAAGCTTAACTACAACCATAACTATAAGAATAAGTCCTCAGAAATTAAAGCAGCAAGTTGTCTACTGATTGCATTTGGCATTGGTAATGAGATGAATCCCACATCCTATCACCCCCAAGGCAGATACATCCTGCGTGTTTAAAAAAGACTGTGAAAATGCTGTGTGTAGAGTAGGTCACCTCGCCTTGTGTTTCATGGAAAGAAACAAAACCATGAAGAGATTACCACAGAAATGTCTGGATGTACATTTTTGGAAATTTTGGAAATTTTTACTGTGATCTATTTTCAGTGTTCTTGCAGGGTCCTCATTTTTACACTACCCTGTTACTGCACAATCTTTATACTGTATCCAGAACACCTCTCTGAGATGGGGAAGCACTATTACATCTGTTTAATACATGGAGAGAGCAGAGTCAGATAGACTGAGGTGCACCTCCTCAAACTCTCCTTGTTTTGGTGCCCAGTTTTTACTAAGTCAATTGCATAAGGATGTGAAAAGGTTTGTCTAGCAGAAAACTGCACTTGATTCTTCAGAATACCTTAAACCACGAGATACCTTCCACATTAACAAAAGCAATATTTTTAATACTTGAATTGAATCAGTTTTTCAGAATATTTGCATAATGCAAAAGATAGAAATACAACTACTTTAGGGTAATGAACATGCTTTTCTTAACTATGCAAACAGTCCTTGGGAAGCACATAAGTGTGAGTGTATGTACACATGTATGCGTGCATACATAAAGAATACAAATG